CAAGGTTTGTTTCATGGTTACTGCGGATGGTGCCAGCATTTGATAACTTGGTGACTATCAGGTTGAACCTTTTAAAGGAGTCTTCTAAGCTTTCGCCAGTATGAGCTTTGAAATTGTTGATCTCACTGAGTGCAGTTGTAAGCTTCTTATCTTGAGCTTGTTCTGAGCCTTCGTACAAATTCTTGAGAACTTCCCAGATCTCTTTTGCTGATTTGCAGTTTATGATAATGTCGAAGTTGCCAGGAGCAACTCCACAAGAGATTTCATAAAAAGCAACAGCATCATTTTCCATTTTATCGCGATCATCTTTGGTGGGACGATTCATGACTGGTTGTTCTCCTCTTAGTCTGGCTGTGGCGCCATCGGTTTGGACTGGTGTAAGAACAGGGACATGTGGTCCTTCTTCTACGGATCGCCATACATCTCTACCAAGTCTCCTTAAGTATCTTTCCATTCTCTGAGACCAGTGATGATATTCATTTGCTACCAATATTGGGGCTCGATTCGAACCACCAACACTGTTGGAAACATTCAGAGATAATGCTTGTGCCATTTTTCCTTGTTTTTTTTAAAGTTTTTTTTAAGTAATGAGCTTCAGTGGTATAGAAGGCCTTTTGAAAAATCAGAGTTTTGTTTTTCAAAAAGCAACCACTATGGCTCAGATACCAATTGTTGAGAGAAAAACTTGAGACACTTGAACAAACGTTAGAACAAGTATAGTTGCGGAATAGTTTATCTCAAAGGATCTAAAAGCTCAACAATAATAATAAGTTAACGAGTTAGATAATTAGAGAGTTAGTTGCGGAAATATAAGGAAATATAAATGACAGCAGGTGATATATCAAGTATACACATAAGTTGATTCATAACATGGAATGCATTCAGACCAAGTTAGTAAGTGAGATCAAAATTAGTGATTAAGTCACGAATGACTTGCTCTGAAGAGAAATAATATTCAGTTATGTTCTAGAGAACTTTGAGAGTAAGGAGAGATTTAAGATGCGTAATCAGATAGAAGTGAAGTTGTGTAAGTTATATTGAATGAGAAAGATTGAGCTCTATATATAGAGACTCATGAATTACATTTGATCAAATCTCTAAGAGTAGTCATGCAAGGCATACTGGACAATAGAGAGTATTACAACAAAAGTAGATAAGGTAAAGTAATCGTCTAAGTAAGAATGACTGCGGTTGATGATGACTTCGGATGAGATTGCTGATGAAGATCTGACTGCGGATTCTTGAGGGTTGCGGTAGCTCAAGTTCAAGAGGGTCACTTTTATGATTCAACAGTAATTATCTCTCATATTTCATTTTCTTATTATTCTTGATTGATTTCAATCGAACCCTTAATCGTATTTGTAAACCTGACATTGTTGATTTCTTTCTTCTGAATCATTTGGCGATATCGCCTGAATTAACAAGTGAATATGAGTATTCAGATCCCTTTTTGATTTATTTTCCTATTTCTTTGTGGCTCGATTGGATGATTAGTGGAATTTCTAGAATGGATTGTTAGTTTATTAAATACAATGAATGGTTTTATTAATTAAATAGAAATCCTTTTGTTTTTAACTTGTTGGTAGAATTTTACACAACCGATTGTTATTCCTTTTGCTTCAACTATTTGTATGCATTTCAAGGTCAAAATTACCAAGTAAACATGAATCTTCTTTGTTTAGCAAGTGAAAGTAAAGACGGATGTGTATTATGTACAATCATTGTAAATTTGAATGCTTGTTTGTGATTTTTCTCAAATTTGTTCATCTCATTGTTGTTATTGAATCTTGGATCTTTTGATGCATTCTTATTTTCAATTTGGGTTATTCATATGTTCTTGTGATTAATGAGGCTGTAAATTATATGTTCTTTGTTATGATTATTTGATCATTTGGTCATCTTGTATTTCTATTTTTTTCTATTTTTTTTAAACATTGTTATAGAAGCGAAAAAAAAAATTGGTGGAATTATCTCGGTTCAAAGTTGGATTCTTTTTATTGGTCGGTTGCAAGTTGGATTCTCACTTGTTCTTTACTTGCAGTTACATTTATTGGTTTTTGTGTAAATGTTCATTCATGAATAAGTTTTTGTATAAATGTTAAGTTATCAACAGAGGCACATCCAAATTTTTTGTATAAATATTCAGTTATGAACATATGTTTATTAATCGATTTGTTCATTAAAATTTTGAGTTTTGTATAAAAATTCATTTATGAATAAATGTTCATCTTGTGATAGTTATCACTTTCATACATGTTCACCTATGAACATGATTAATTTTATGGGTTTCTGAATAATTGTTAATTTCTTAATAAGTGTTCATTTATGAATAAATCTTTATTTGTGATGATTATAGATGGTCATACATTTTTCATTTATGAAAATTTATTCGGGAATGAACATATGTTCGTTTATAGAAATTTATTCATATTTGAACATTCATACATGTTCACTTATGAATATTTATGTATATATGATCTATACATGTATATACATGTTCAGTAATAAATATTAATGAACGTTCATATATTTTCCAATGTTCATCTATGAACTTTAATAATTGTTCACGTATAAATGATAGAAATGTAACAAAGGTTGAATATAGAACATTTATAAGTTGGATAAATATTCAGTTATGAACACGCATGATTTTGTATGACCTGTATGACTTTGTGTAAATGTTCATTTATGAACGTAGACAAATATGAATGTTCAATTATGAACATTAAGGTATATATTTGTTCAACTTATGTTTTTTGTATAAATTTTCATAAATGAACGTTTATGAACTTGGCTAATTATGAGTTTCTGTATAAATGTTTAATTATGAATATTAATTTTGCAACAAGTTATCTATATATACATATGTTCATGACCATAAATATATTTTAATGATCTCCTATTATTTTGAACGGTAATTAAATACAATTAATAGATTTTGACTTTTGTAGGCGGTGCTATGGTTCTCTAACTTATATATGTGTGTCAAAAATGAAAGAATGATTAGACATATGTGGACTAGATGAAGCAATTTATCATTTCATTTTCTCTCTTTCCATTTACTTGTAACGTTCTTTTTCCATTTGCTTTGTTGAAATAATATACCAAGAAAGCAAGAATTTCTCTATATGATTATGTTTCATATGTCTTTAGATACATATTTAAAATTTTGTTAATAATAAAATATTTTTTTTAAAACGTTAAAAATCGCTGATATAACTGGAAAAACCTCTTATGCGCGGTTACAGTTTTTTTTATATTAAAATTTATATAGTTAAATCATAAAATATTCTTCAGGTGGTTAAACTGAATTTTGTTAATACTATAATGGCTTTTGTATAATTTAAACTTTTGTGGTTAAGCAAGTTACCAGAAAACCTATATGATCATTTATTAAATAATCATTATTTTTCTAGAATAACAAATCTAACCTAGCTAGGCTGGAAGCCTTTTAGAGAATCAATTTCTTATTAGTAAATCAAAGATGGTAAATGACTTAAATCAAAAAATATACGAACTAAAATGTTTTTTTATATAGTATTTGTCATAATATATATATATATATATATATTATAATATATATATATATATATATATATATATATATATATATATATATACACACACACACGCCTCACAAGTTCCATATAGAGAGAAAAAAAAATTCAATAGAGAGCCATAATTATTGTTTATCCAATAAATCAATTTTTTTTCAAGTTTTAAAGCTTATTGTTTATCGAAAAAAAACTAAAAATTTCTAAATTAATAACTTCACATTGTGAATGTTAAAAAATAAATTATATATTTTTCGAGTTCACCGTGTGAATTCAGATTCACACTGTGAGTTTGACGATATTTTTTTATCGAATTTGATATCATTGGAAAAAAATATAAAAGTTATGAATTTCTATATTTTTAGTTTTTTTTTTTTTAAAAAAACAAACTTTAAATATTGAAAAAAAAGATTGATTCCTTGGTTAATTATGTTTCTCTATTGAACCTCATTTTATATATATAGATATAATATATATATATATATATATATATATATATATATATATATATGGGAAAAGGGAATATACATTACAGCCCCACCTAAGCTTAGGTACTAAACCTCTTGAAAATACATTGTTTTACTATATAAAGATTACGGTTAATGGATTCACGATTAATACTTCAAGATGTAAATTTAAGATCGACACAATAGGGTTTAGGGTTTAGGGTTTATGGTTTAGATTTAGGGTTTAGGGTTTAGGGTTTAGGTTTAGGTTTAGGGTTTAGATTTAGGGTTTAGTGTTTAGGTTTAGGGTTTAGGGTTTAGGGTTTAGATTTAGGGTTTAGGGTTTAAATTTGGGGTTTAGGGTTTAGGTTTAGGGTTTAGTAATGTTCACTTGGGTGAAGTAATAAACGATAATTGAGGAAAGAAAACAGAGATGATAAAACGATAATGAAAGAAAGAAATGTTGTGGAGGATGATATATATTTACCAAGTGAAACCAAACCGGGTATATTTAGCATGTTAAAACGACATATTTTAGAAGTTTAGTACCTAAGCTTAGGTGGAGCTGTAATGTATATTCCTTATCCCCTATATATATATATATATATATATAATATATATATATATATATATATCATATATATATATATATATATATCTTCACAGGAAAATGCTCAAACACAAAAATCTTCAATTTTCTATCAAATGCGTAAACAAAGGTTATATTTTTCCTTTCTGAAAATTATAACATTTCGATGTAGTAATAATCAGTAATAATTAATAAAAATCCCTAATTTTCAATATATATCAAAAGTTCTCATGTACAGTTCTCCAACATTAAAGAATAAAGTGGTAGATTTCTAATCATCCCCACTACTCCATTAGAAACACCTATAATTGTACCCAACAGCCTTCTCTTTTCATCATATTTAAACCTGACCTCCTATCTTTTACTCACTTTTTATTACAGACCTTCCCTTGTTTTAAATTCCACCAGCTCATGATGCATCATTCTTCTTCTTCCTCCTCCTCCACCACCACAGATTCCGTCAATGGCTTCTACAACTTTCTCACTCACAGTCTTGACGATCTTTACGGTTCTTTCCATTCTCAAAACTTCATTTCCATCCACTTCCTACAACTTGTCTTCTCATCCCTCCAATCTTTCCATAATCAACTGATTCTTTTGGTTCACAAACTACACTTGCCTGTAGGCGAAAAATGGCTTGATGAGTATATGGATGAGAGTGAACGCCTTTGGGAAGTATGTCATGTCTTAAAGTCATGCATTTCAAACATGGAAAACTATTGTTCCATGGGGGTGAACATGCCTTCTATCCTTGAAAACATTGACTCCAATCCACAACTCGCACGTGAGGTAAAGTTGTACAAATTCTAGACTACTTGTGTTCCTATAGGCCTCGTTAGCACTATTTTGAATTAATCACTTAGATTTGAATATTTCAGGTGTCTAGAGCGATCAACCGTTGCCAAAGGGAGAGAGTTAGATTGGAGGAAGAAAACAAGAGCTTAATAGAGACAAGAATTAAACCATTAATGATGCAATTCGATGAAAGTGTATTAATCCAATCAAAGTTTAATGGGTTCAATGGCTTTAGAGGAGCACTATATGCATTAAAAAACATAAGCTCATTACTTTTTAAGATCATGGTTAATGGCCTAGCTTATTGCTCCAATGATTCAAGTTTTTCCTCTTTGTCCAACATGAATACCACTTGTTATAATGTAAATCATACGGTTTCTGAGACAAGTTTTATGGTCTCGGCAACAAGATTGATGGAGAGAGTGAAGGATTGCGGAGAGGGGCAAAATGGTATTTTACTATATGAGTTTCGCAATACGGGATATGCCATGGATGAGTTGCAAACAAAGTTGGATAGAGTTATAGGGTGTGAAATGGGATTTGATATAAGTGAGAGGGTTGAAAATTTAAAGAGTTGTGTTGGAGGGTTGCAATATGGAATTGAGAATATGATTGTGCAACTTGATGATTTTTTTGATGAAATTGTTGAAAGTAGGAAGAAACTCTCAGATTTATGTATTCATACCTCAGATGTTTAGGCTTGAGTAATTTTTGGCCCTTCAAAAGGGACATATATTCAAGTTTGATACTTTTAGACTTTAGCTCCCACAAAAATTATAGACTTGTGTAGCTATATCTATAGTGCAAAAGACCAGAAGGACAACTTTCTTGTATAAAAAACAGCTGTTATAAATATCTGTGTATCATGCTTGGAAAGTTATACATTATTATGGTTTCGACAAGTTTTACCTGAAAAAGCATTGCTATAAGTTGATTTGTAAAATGAAGAACATCAAATGATGGGAAGTTTTCCATTCAATTGTTTTTCTCTTTACGGGCTGTTAGGTCCTTCTAGAATTTACTTATTTGAATACAGTACTATAATGACCCTACTATATGTTATGATATGACATAAATTCATAAATAAATAAATAAAAATTGGAAGGGGACGTGATTCATCTCTTTGAAGGAAAGTTAAAGAGATTTGCATACAAGTTAGGAGACAACGAGAATATAATATCATGACAAATGTTAGCTTCAAAGAAAGCACAAGTTTTACATGTGTGCCACAAGGCATTGAAAAATTAGACTCAAATATTTTTATATAAAATAGTTATGAAGTGTTTAAAAATATCTAAATCTGAAAATATAAAAATTGAAACGTAATTATCTAAAATTTGAATATTTGATTTTTCGAATTCCAATAAGAATTCGAATGGTCCCTTGATAAATTTTCATATCCGACATTGATATATATATATATATATATATATATATATATATATATATATATATATATATATATATATATATATATATTTTTTATTCCTTTTAAATTTTGAAAATGAGAAAGAAAAGGTCAATGATTGATATAATCTATTTACTTTCATTATTCATATTTTATATTTTGATCCTCCTCCTTCCTTTATATATGTAAGTGTTGTTTATATATATTTTGGGTTTGTTCGGCAAAATTAGCTGGTAACGGTTAGCTTGTAGCGTGTTGTTAAACAATACATGAAGTAGCATTTGGATTTGAAACGTTTTGTTTAAACTAAACGCTAGAAGCTTGTAGTGTCGAACGAGGCCTTCTGTTCAAAACAGAGTGTTTTGTTAAACGCAAGAAGCTCTCAAACGCTCTCAAATGTTTCGTAGCGAACACGTCATTTATGTTATAACAATGAAGTCACAACATTCTCATTAAAAAACCGAAAAATCTCAAAATTATGTATTAATCCAAATGTTTATGTATAAGATTATGTATATGTTTTTGTATTCAGATGATGTATTTATCCAAATAAATATGACCGTGTTTTGTGGACATATTTTTTATTTTGTGTATGTTTAAGTTTAGTAGGTAAAGGAGATAACTTTTTTATATCAAAATGCATTATTTACTACAAACCTATATATTACAACTATATTCGTAAATTAGATGTATGTTTTTTTATTGATAAAATTGTAAAAATGGTTTATGTGGTATGTATTTTTTCTGAGTTTTTGTTCAAACACTTACTTTTTTAGATTGGTGGTTTTTTTGAGCTAGTTTCGTTGCGTATTTGTTTCTCCGTATATTAAAATGAGTGTAATACTCTTGGGGTATTTATTTTTCATTTTTATTTCTTTAAATCTAATACTTATTTATATATTTTAATAAGTAAAAAATAAGAAAGGGGTCACCTCCTCTCTCTTTCTCTCTATGTTTTCTTCTTTAATTTATGTATAAGATTAAAACACACAGAGAGACACACATCAATCCTCTACCGGCCCACTTTTATTTGTCACTCTCTTGGACCTTGGTTTCTTATTTTTATTCGTTCTTCATTCTCATAGTAATACCATCTACCACAAAGATCATTGTATCTCTTATTTATGTCTCATTTCTCTTCCCCTCTCCGTTTAGTCACCAGAAAAGGTATAAACAACTCATCAGAAAAACCATTGTCACTCTCTTTTCTCTCGGTAGTTTGCATTAATTGGATATACCAACTCATTAGAGAAACACACAGTCGCAACAGTTCGTGCATAGTCGGAGAAACTCACGCATGTACCTTCTCTTTTGTCCGATAACACTACAATTTATCTTTCTTTGCGTTGGTAGTGACCCAAAATGGGTAATACAGTAAGTCTCATTGTTCATATCTTATCCCTCGATGTGTTGCTATAAGTAAACCACATGCTCTCTTACATTTACTCGATGATGATCAAGTCGGAGAATAATCCATCGTAACTACACAAAACCAAATATGATGAACCGAAGTCTTGTCGTAGAAGAATACATTTTTCAAGTTACCCATTGGTACAAATAAGGAATGAAGAAGAGGTGGAATTTTCTCTATATAGATGAGAAGAAAATGCATAGAATTTTCCATTTTACCCTTTAAACGAAAATGCATCTTCTCATGCATTCTTTCTCTTAACTTACTCAACTTACCTCTTATAAGATACTTAAACTTATTTTGGCTATTTTCATGAAGTCACAACTTCATATTCTCACTAAGTTCTCATTAATGACCATTTTGCCCTTTTGATCAATAGATGACTAAAAGTCAACTCTCTTTAAATTTTAGGTTATTACATATAACATTAACCATACCAATTCACCTCTAACTTCTAACCACAAAGAACCATATAGGTTCTAAATACATAACATAACCATGAGATTAACATAATATATTATAATAACAATGCATTTAGATAATATTTATCTAGAAAGAAATGTGATTACTCACCTTGTTAGTTACTAAAACTAACTATCATTCTAGCCTCCAGCTCTTCGTTGCTTTCTAATTCATCACTTGTCCAAACAAATTTGTGATGGAATTTTAAGGTTACAAATTCTATGTACTTGCGGAAATTCTCTTAACACTTAAGGGTACGTGTAACCTAAGGATCTATGTCTTCACATTAATAGTAACATATTATGAAACTTAAGGAAACCTAGCTATAAGCGATAGATTAGGGTTACATACATTTTGAATTGTTATAGCAAACAATTCTTTGAATCCTTCTTGATCTTTAGAAAGCAAGCACCAAAAGTATGATGTCTCTAATGGTTGACACCAAAAACCCTAGAAACTAGGGATGAGCATCAGAATCGAATACGCGCTTTCGAAACCGGATCCAACTCAGAACTGACGATTCCGGTTCTTATTTTTTTGGAACCGCTACCCGCCTGGTACCCGTCGGAACCGGTTTATATATATATATATATATATATATATATATATATATATATAATGTCAAACTGCAAATGAATTATAAACTATGCATAAACAGAATTTATTTTGTAGAAAAACATATAGCATCTGTTTTGCCATTTTGTGGCTTGCGTCCTCACACTGGCATCAAAAAGAAAGTGTCTCTTTTCTCACTAGTTTTTAATTACACCATTTACAACAATAATCAAACTTTATTTAATAGTACTGGAAGTCTTGGAATGCATGGAATTTTGGGAACGTGACATTTTTTCTAACCGCAACAAACCAACCTTATTCTCTTTAAAATATACACAGCGAAAGTCTATACAAATAGCTTTATCATATAATTTTTGTGATTATTATTTTTAAAAAAATAGACGCCGGGTACATGGAACCGGAACCGATTCCGGCGGTTCCGGGAGCAGTTCTAAAATCTTAGGAACTGACGTAGCCGGTTCCAGATCTGGTTCGTACATCCTAGGAACCGCTGGTTCTGGTTCCAGCAAATTTGGCCGAGTAACCGCCTATGCTCATCCCTACTAGAAACCCTACAATGAAGATGAGAGAGAGGAAGGAAAAGTAAATTTCGTTCATTTGCTTCTTAGGAATGTCATGAACGAAATTTGCAAGCTAAGGAATCTTATTTATAGTTTAGGTAACTTGCAGATGAATCCAAATTTGAATTGATTAAATAATATATTTAATCTCAGTTCAAATCTTTTCTTTATCTGCAACTAGGAGGCTTCCAGAAACCCAAGGAATTCCTCCAAAACTATTCATACCATGGATGGTTTTAGGATTGTTTCCTTTGTTCCACTATTGACAATTATAATTCACCACTTACACATTTAATTAATCTTAATCAATCCCGAATTAATTCAAGATTAATTGTGATTAATAATTAATTAATTCTCATTGATTTCATATTAATTTATTAATCATATAAATTAACAAATCAATTATTTAACTATTGATCTCATATTAATTTATTAATAAAATAATAAATTAAGAAATCATTTATATATTTCTAATTAATATATTAATCAAATAATATATCAACAAATCATTTATTTTCTCTCTCCCAACATCATTTCTAGCTATTTCTGGTTATGAGGGCAACCCAAAAATGACTTAGTTTGAGCTTAGACACCTTAATCCAATAGTCTCCGACTTGGATAAGTCTATAACTACAATTGCAAGAATAACCTTGAACCAAACAGCAAAGTATGCTTTCCAAATCCACTTCCGAACTCTGATTTAAATCAAACGTTGGCCCTAAGATAAGCGATCAGCTATTCCTTCGTTTTACAATATATCGTATGAACATAATCATGGATTAAAGATCAACCTCATGTCCATTTATGTGTTTCTCGATCTCTGATTTTATGATCAAATTCATACTACAAGATCAAACACATCAATTTAGACTGGACCAGGCCTGGTTCTTATAGATCAACTCAAATCACTGAGGGGCCCAAATATATTGTTTTTCCTGTTAAGGCAAAAGGAACGAATAAACGTTGACTACATAATTATATCCCTTACTCATCAAATCGCACATGACACCACTTTTTATAACATCAAGTTACTGATGCATTTATGTAATACCAATGCATATCTGACTTGCAAATTACAACTTATGTATCTATGTTTGAAGAAGAGAATATATTATCGTCTTAGATTTACTTGTGATTGAATCCATGAAGTAATTCTAAGTGTGGGTTTATCCAATACTTAAATTTATATTTCCATGTACTCATGCATATTGCAGCAATCCGTACGCAATGTCCAATCTACAAACAATTCATGACAGTCTTAATTCAATACCTACTACCAAA